ACTTACCATGCTATCCAATAGAAATATGAAGGAAACGTATGGCATTTGGAAATGTTTTTAAAGTGCTACCTGGTTATTGGTTGCATGTGCTTCTCCTAAAGCCATATAGCTACCACTTATTCTTTATAAAAGCTACAACTTCAGCCTGATTGGCTAGAAAGATCCACAACGCAAACAAAGAGTTTTCCATAGTAGTGTAGTAGCTAGTTGGACTTAGAACTTTGAAAGGTACCAAGCAAGTTACTTGACCACTTCATGAAAATCTATGAAGCAATACCGTAAACTTATCAATTACTTTTATTTATTTCCAACTTACAAAGAAACGTTGTCGGAATACCTTACAGATCTCTGGAATGAAGTGCTGGATAAAAACCTGTTTTCCCCTGTTTGCCATTTAAGGTTACTGTTCATTTTCATTCTATCTCTCTTTTATAGACACAGAATGCATTTCATTATATTATACAGTATATAAAATTTATAACAAACTTTAATCGTACATAATTACTAGAAGTTACGATTATATTTTATGCAAAATTAGTAGTGTTTTTTTTTCTTCTGATTTATTTAACATAAACTTTTATCGTACCAAAATGCCTTAATATTTACCCTTTCTCCCTAAAAATATAGATACAAGCAGACATAGGGCTAACAATATATGGAGGATATGTAGTGCTTTAAAAGCTTCAGTTATGTAGGTATGAAATACACGCATAAAGCTAATGGAACCCGCATTACAGATTATCCAATAGAAACCGACATTAAGAATTCTCGATTATTTTCTGTTCTAAATAATTAAAATGCCCACTTTTGTTTTACTTAGATTTCACAAACCATAAATTAGCACTTTTCCGTTGTTTATATTGTTACGACAGCGGAAGTCACGTGACGCTTGTAAATACATCATGATATTTTAGAAGGATCATGAATTGTTCTGGCAACTCTAGTCTGTTCCAGGTGCTCTCTTTTTTAGTATATAAGCTCGGCAAATAAAGGAGAATAGATAGATAGAAAGATTGGAGATAGAGATAATCGAGTCAAGCCGTAAGTATGTGAATCCCTGTGAATTATAGCGTGTTTTTATAAAAGTAGATAAGTTAAATTGACTGTGGAAATTAAGTGTATTACCAAGTTTGTAATGAGAAAGAATAAACTAGTTTTAATCAAGAAGGAACTTGTATCGCTGATGTCACTCGGAAAGAATTTATACCGGAAATTAACAAACAAGCAGATACGCAACAATATGCAAAAGCACCATTTTTTCTTCTAGTTAGACAGTTACGCTGGGCAAGTTTTTTGTAATTCTACTAAAAAAAAAACATACGATATCTTTCGGTTTAAATATATGAGGCTGCATTATTTTAACTCCTTCTAAATAAGATAAATGGCTATTTTTCTTAAGCCTTAGATTGTCTGTTCTGTTTTTATTTAAATGTTTAGGTAATTAGCTAGGCCTTTTCCACCATTTCCTTAAATATTTTGCAAGACTTTTTCAATCCCTTGGTTAGATATTTGGCTAGGCCTTTTTTTGTCTTTTATTTGAAATCTTTTTTTTTATTCTCCGTAAGACTCCCCCTTCTAATTAAATATTTGAAATAGCTATTTTTATTTTCTTTAAGTGAGTTCATATTCTTTGTTGATCTTTTTTTCGTCTACAATTTATCTTCTGCTGAAATGATCGATGTTATTACTTTTCTTTTTATTTGAGTGACTTATTCGATCACGTTTTTTTCTGTTTAATTAACTGAGACAGTCACCTTTCTTATGCTTTTTAAATATTTTAGATTCAAAACCTACGTTTTATATCCAGTTATTAAAAGCAATTGTCATTATAATCTCTGACCTGGTGATTAGGACGCTCGCTCGTAATCTGCGGATTACGGGATCGAACCCCATCACAAAACATGATTGCCCTTTCAGCCGTGGGGGCGTTATAATGTGACGTTCAATCCCACGATTAGTTGGTAAAGTGTAGGCCAAGAGTTGGTAGTGGGTGATATCGACTAGCTGCCTTCCCTCTGGTCTATGATTTTTAAATTAAGGATGGCTAACACAGATAGCCCCCGGGTAATTTTGCTGAAAATTCAACAAACGAATCTTATTCTCTATATAAGAAATTGACATATATCATTTATTTTTCTTAACGTTTAAGTAATTGAAGCTGCAACTCTTTTTATTCTGTTTAAATCATCAGAGGGCGCCCTTTTTCTATTTTAAAAACTTAAGGCCATCATTTTTTGTGATTACTTGAGACGACAAATTTTATTTTCTGTTTAAGTAATGGAGTCAACTATATTTTTTGTTTAAATACGTAAGGTGCTTACGTTTCTCTCTCTAAGGAAGAGTTTGTTTGTTTTGAATTTCGTGCAAAGCTAATGTAGCAGTATTAACTAGAGGGAAGGCAGCTAGTCATCACCACCCACCGCCAACTCTTGGACTACTCTCTTCTACCAACGATTGACATTATAACGCCCCCCACGGCTGAATGGGCGAGCATTTTTGGTGGGACGGGGATTCGAACCCGCGACCCTCAGATTGCGAGTCGAGCGCCCTAACCACTTGGCCATGCCGGGCTCTAAGGAAGAGAGTCGACTTTTTTTTTTTTTTTGGTTAAGTTCGTAAGTTGCTTATATTTCTATTTCTGAGTCACTGTTACTTCTGTTTAAAAAATAATAATAATAGAAACCGTATCTTCTCTGTTTTAAAAAAAAAATTAAGACGTCCTTTTATTATTATTATTCTTGTAAATAAATGAATGAGTTCCATTAACTGTATGGACTTTTTTTTCTGTCCTGATAGCTAAGAATAACTTTAACCTTCTTCTGTATAACTTATTAAGAAGACCCCAAGTATATTATAGGTATACACTATTACTTTTTATGTTTCTTTCTCGTTTGAAGCAGAATTTTAAATTTATATGTAACTTATATATATATATGTATATATTTAGCCCCTACGATTACAGCGCCACCTCCCGTTTTGGAAGATTCTTATCTGCCTTTTTACCGAAACTTGACCGTGCTGCTACCTGTCGCTATTTCTATCATCGTTTTATTGGTTGTCATTGTTACTGTCATTGTCTGTCTTCGACGCCAGTCGGATACAAGCAGCCGGGCTAGCAGTGGAGGTAAACAGCGTGCAATTCTAATTTCTTAATCTTTTCTGTTGTTGTTGTTAGGATTGTTACTTACTTATCATGTCTCTCTACAATATAAGACAGATAATAGCAGTCGGAACACCAATGGTGATTAGTGATATATAGCATGTGGTTCTAATTTCATAAGATATAAGTACACACTTTATTTCAACATATATATATATATATATACCTTCTATATATATAACTTGTATTGCAGAACAAAGATAATTTATTTAGGGCAATATTACTTAAATCCCAAAATGTAACCGTCAGGACTTATTCAGTGTATCACTGTGAAGGAGAATCAAGCTAGTTCCAAAAACCAGAACCAATGAGTGACAGAAAGTTCATAAAAAATCTAGTTGAAGTATTCCATATTTTGGAAAGTTCAAATGTTTATATCAAATAGTCACTCTTCAAAGATAGAAAGCCTCACCTTACAACAGAGACAGAGTTAACAGTGGACACAGGGATAATAATTTATTTACTTAGTCGCATAAAATTGTATATGGTGTTCACGTGTACATATGAACAAACAGGTGGTCACATAAATTATTGTAAACATGTGGCTTTTTACCTCAATGCATTACACTTGTCACCGTGTTCATCTTGACAGGAGGGACAACGGATGACCAACTGTATGGTTACACTGATAAGACTTGTCTCAGTGTTCACTTTGACAGGTGAGACAATAGATGACCATTTGCATGGTTACACTAATAAGACTTGTATCAGTGTTCATCTTGACAGGAGGGACAACAGATGACCAACTGCATGGTTACACTGATAAGACTTATCTCAGTGTTCACGTTGACAGGTGTAACAATAGATGACCATTTGCATGGTTACACTGATAAGACTTGTCTCGGTGTTTGTTCATCTAGACAGGAGGGACAACGGATGACCAACTGCATGGTTACACTGATAAGACTTATCTCAGTGTTCACGTTGACAGGTGTAACAATAGATGACCATTTGCATGGTTACACTGATAAGACTTGTCTCGGTGTTTGTTCATCTAGACAGGAGGGACAACGGATGACCAACTGCATGGTTACACTGATAAGACTTGTCTCAGTGTTCACGTTGACAGGTGAGATAATAGATGACCATTAGCATGGTTACACTGATAAGACTTGTATCGGTGTTCATCTTGACAGGAGGGACAACAGATGACCAACTGCATGGTTACACTGATAAGACTTGTCTCGGTGTTTGTTCATCTTGACAGGAGGGACAACGGATGACCAACTGCATGGTTACACTGATAAGACTTGTCTCAGTGTTCACGTTGACAGGTGAGACAATAGATTACACTTGCATAGCTACATACGTCTTAAGATATTAGGCTTGATAAAATAGAGGGGGGGGGCATCTAATTAGAAAAACCTTTTCTTACTTTTCATTTTTGCAAACTGAGTTCGTTTTAACTAAGTGTAAAAATGATTTAGCCATAATTCATTATTTCTTAGTCCATTACTCTAGCATCTTTATATAGCGTAAAGAATCTCTTATTTTTATTAACAATTATATTAGTCTACGTATTTTATATCGTTAACTTCTCGAGAAAACTAGGTACTTCTTCAGGATAAATAAGCTGTACCACTCTCACATGTTTCACATCAGATAGTCAATCAAGAAAAGGCAGACAAGGTGATGCTGTCGGAATGGTGGATTTTTACCAAAAGGGAGGGAAAGATGGCGATGCTTCGTTAAAATCATCAACATATTTTTCCCCAGCAAGTGGCAAAAGTATTGGAATAACCTTTAATAATCGACACCGTAAGACTATTTTGCCATTATTTATACTACCCTAGTGTTTTTGTTTTGTTTCCTGTTGTTTTTATTGCAGCTGGTGACCTTTTCTTAAGCTATTTTTAAAGTTTAAAAATCAGTCTTGAGGGAAAGTATCATCTTTACCAATAAAATGCAATAATTTGTAGTAACCCTTTATAGAGGAACACTATATTTTTGAAGCAAAAATTGAAAGGGTTGTTTTCTTTTTACCTAAACCGTAAATTTTACAAGTTCAGCAACAATATAAATGTTCCAAGGTTTTTGTGAGAATCTACACGTTCTTTTTGTTTTGTTGTTAATTACAATGGTCATTCATTCATTGTTTTAATCGTGTGATTTTGTCTCTCAACTTTCTTAATTTAGTATACCAGAATATTTTCAGTTACGTTCTTTAAAAAAGGAAAAATTATATAATATTTGATTTGTTATAATACGTTTAACAAAATACAATACGTTGGTTTTTGAAAAGTGTTTTCCACCATTTGCAGGTCGTCATGACGACAATCATGAATATGCTGAACCTTACGCTGCAGTACCGCCACCCAAATGCGTTACACGCGAAGGCTGTCCAACAATGTCAAGTGTTGCTGTACGTTGTTTTTAATAACACCAGTTTAACAATAATATTTTTAATGAGTGGTAATAGCTTGTTGGTATTAAAAATAATTTAAGTGGCATCTTTATAAATCCCCCTCCCCCCATGTACAGAAAGTTAATCGTCCATTATAATAAAGATTTTTATAAGTTAATTGCAATGGTGCGTCGCTATAGATACAACGCAACGGGTGAAATGTACATGATTCGCACAGGTCATGAAAATCCTACAAAGTCGTTCAGTTTTGTACACAACACACAAAATTTTTAGTAATGGAAATTTTGGAATGTCATGGGCTTATCAGGAGGTCCTGGAAAAACCTTTAAAGGTCTGACCACCTCTTCTCCCATATCCCCAATTGTTAATGACGACACCATAACAATTGTTGTTGTAACAAATGGTTTATATAAGTATTGTTCCGACCATTCTATGTTTGTTGTGTCCAAGCTGGCCTAATTAGTTCTGTATTGAGTAAAACGCTTCGTCAGAAATGTATATAGCGACGTAGTGTGGTTGAAATACTATTATGGCCTCTTTTTCCTCATGAAAAACGTTTAACAAGTGAATAATGAGTGTAATGTTAACAATGTAATTGGTCATATACTAATGTTTTAAATATTGTTTACACGTGGGTATGTGTTACCGCACACACACATAAAAAAACTATAGGTTAAACACTACGTTGAAATATATAGATTTTATTGACGTAAAGGTTTCCAGTTCTCAGAAAAGTTTTTTGTTAGGTGGAATTGCAGCTATAAACTGAGAAAAGGTTTAACAATAATAGAATGCAACTCTGTGTGTGAAAACCACAAGATATACAACGTTGTTAATGGACGCAGCAATATAAGAGTAGTCTCAGTAACAATATGAGTGTGAATCATTACTTTGTTTGTATGGTGACATGTCGTAATGTATGTTTAACAGTAAATCCGGTAACAAGCTGTCTTGTCCTATTGTCGTTAGCCCGGCATGACCAGGTGGTTAGGGCGCTCGACTCGCAATCTAAGGGTAGCGGGTTCGAATCACCGTCCCACCAAACATGCTCGTCCTTTTAGCCGCGGGGGCGTTATAATGTGATGGTCAATTCCACTATTCGTTGGTAAAAGAGTAGCCCCAAGAATTGGCTGTGGATCGTATTGACTAGCTGCCTTCCCACAAGTCTTTCACTGCTAAATTATGGACGGCTAGAGCAGATAGCCCTCGTGTAGCATTCCGCTAAATTCAAACCAAAGAAACAAATCTGTTGTCGTTGAAGAAAATGTTCAATAAATATTATTTGATTATTCGCTGGTGATTTTACTTTGGCCAAAGCGCATTATTTGGTAGAAAAGGGGATTTTTTTTATTAAGCACAAATATACACCATGGGCTATCTGTGCTCTGCCCACCTGAAGTATAGAAACCCGATTTTTAGCATTATAAGCCCCCAGGTTTTCCATTGATCCGCAGGAGGGGAGGGAGCTTTGGGATAAAGACGCAAGACTTGATCAAGTTATTTTTAAATAGTTCACGTGTTACTCAAAGTGTTCCAAGGAAGTCAAAATGCACTCCTCCATGGCTGTATATTTTTGTTTGTTTGTAGTTAAGCGCAAAGCTACACAATGGGCTATCTGTGCTCTGGCCACCACTGGTATTGAAACCCGGTTTCTAGTGTTGTAAGGGCTGGGTATCAACGTGTATGCTAATTGGTTGCTATAATACGTGCGCGATGCAAATAATACACGAAACAAAGAAAAGGGGCGTGAGCATTTATTCTTTACTTGTATTTCACTGTATCTGTTATTCCTAGAACACCTTGTGGAACTGTTAATACATTTTTCATGATATAAAATAAAACTGTAGTTATTTAATTTGGTGTTCACTATCTGTTCAAATCGGCAAATAAATCCTCGAAAATAACAGTTTGATCATGTATTTTATTTAATTTTTTCTCATTAGCTTGTGCGAACCATGTAATGTTTGGCTCTCACAACGAATCTCCGACAACCTGACTGTGTAATGCCGCCACTGGTAGATTTTAATTGTAGAAGATGTGTGGTCTAAGATTGACAATCTGACAGTGTAATGCCGCCACTGGTAGACTTTAACTGTAGAAGATGTGTGGTCTAAGATTGACAATCTGACAGTGTAATGCCGCCACTGGTAGACTTTAATTGTAGAAGATGTGTGGTCTAAGATTGACAATCTGACAGTGTAATGCCGCCACTGGTAGACTTTAATTGTAGAAGATGTGTGGTCTAAGATTGAACCGGAATCTTTTGTAGAAACTGTTAGTTGTGGTGTCGGACAAAAGTACGTAATCATAGCCATCGGACTAAATAAGGTTAACTACAAAGGAAGTAATTCTAAGAGCGTTATGCACATGAATATCGTTCTTATAATGCGATTAACCCTCATAACCTTGGTCTAAATATGGTTCTTAATCATATTTTAAAGCTGCCATGTAATTTATACAATCAAAAAGTAGATTTTATTAGGTAGCATTTCACTCATAATTTTGGTTATAATTATTATTAAGGCAAGAACTGATGGACCATACGCTACTATGAAGCGGAGCCCACCCCGACCGGTAACCTATCTGCCACCCATAAATCAAGGTATAACTTTTTGGTTTATATTAACAAGGCAACTATATCTGTAATGTAGGTGTAGTTTATCACAACACTAACTTTTGCAGGATAAAGTTAGATTACCATGACAACCGTATCAATGGTTTAGAGCCAGCTTACCATCAAAACATAATAAGTGAGTAAAAGCTAGATTACCATGACAATCATATCATTGATCTAGATCTAGCTTACAATAAAAACAGCCTAATGGGTGAGTAAAAAATTAGATTATCATAACAATCATATCGATGATTTAAATCTAGCTTACAATAAAAACAACCTAATGAGTGAGTAAAGGGTAGATTACCATAATAATCATATCAATGATCTAAATCTAACTTACAATAAAAACAACCTAATGAGTGAGTAAAAGCTAGATTACCATGACGATCATATTGATGATCCAAATCCAACTCACAACAGAAACAACCTAATGAGTGAGTAAAGAGAAGATTACCATGGCAGTCACATCAATGATCTAAATCTAGCTTACAATAAAAACAACCTAATGGGTGAGTAAAGGGTAGATTACCATGGCAATCACATCAATGATCTAAATGTAGCTTACAATAAAAACAATTAATTTGTGGTATTTACAAGTCACCTAAAACGAAGTATTTTTGAGATTACAAACTATTTGTAAGTTACAAATCACATAAAATGAACTATTATTGAAGCTCTTAAAAACTATTTTTTTCAAAGAAATATCCTGTATATATTTTATATCGTTTATTTGTCAATGAATTTAATGAGTGCTATAGTAAAAACATTTTTCATTATACTTTTATTCATAAAAGTTAAAAATATCAATACGTAATCAGTTACCTATTTTGTTTTAATATAAATGTAAACAGAGCCTTTTATATTGCTTATACAGTTTAAATTACTCTTCTCTCCTAGATGAGTTTAAAAGTAAATCTTTAAACCGAAAAACTAGGGATTAATTTAATTAAATGTGTTTTATGAAACATGCTGTAGGTGTTAAAGTCAGAAACAGTCGACAGATGGCACAACTTGAAAGACCAATAACTTGTAATAATTCTGGATCCAGCTCCTCGGGATCAAGTGGAGATAGGCCTAGTAGTATGTAAAAAAAAAATGTATGTATACAAACGTGTGTGTTAATAAGAGTGAAATTGTAAATTTTCAGTGTTAGTTTCTTAATTTCACGAAACTTGAAACTGGGAATTTTGAATCATTCAATCATAGCAATAATAATAATAAGAGCAAGTACAACAATTTACATAAATATTCTTTCATATTTCGCATGGATTAGCGTGGCGAGAATTTCTGTTGTAGATTCCGTAATATATTACTTGTAATACGATCTTATTTACAAATGGGCGGCTACCTTACCTGGGTTTCAACCAATCTTCTCTTTTATTTTCAGAAACAAATTCTTCAGTTTAACCTTTCCATTCCACGTGTTGATGAAGACTACTTAGTTTAGGGAAAATACATATATATCACTTTATATCATATATATAATATATATTTGTATCCGTCCGTTATCTCAAATATAAAACAAACACCATTTTTCATTTGGAACATGCCTCCATTTTGAAATCTGTGGTAAGTCATTTTGGTTCATTTTACTAATAACTACGATGATATATTTTGTACAAAATCACATTAGGTAGTACAATAGTAAATGTAATCAAGATTAATCAGCTAAGCCTTTTTTTTTTCTTATCTTTCAGGAAATCTTCAGTTCGCACATATTTTGCAATAGTGATTCGTTAATAATACTTCAGACTTTAACTTATCGTACTTTCAGTTTAATTGAAATACCACTGCTATATTCCAACAAGCCTGAATTACACTAACCTTCAATGGTTAAGACTGTCCCGGGTATATTATTATACCTCTATATATTGGTTTTCTAATTTCTAAAATGACATGATATTTCTGTAATTATTGAGTTTAAGTGTTGTTATTGTTGTTTTTACACTCATTACTAGGAACTCTGCTTTGTCAATGTTTGAAAATACCTGGAGAGAGAGAGAGAGGAGAGAGAATTACAGGACAGAACTTAGAGGTTCCAATGAAACATCTAACAGAAACTAAATCATTAAACGATTAAAAAGAGCAACTTTTAAAGTGTGCCTTTTTTTTTCTCGCAGTTATACATAAAGGCTTCGAATCTTTCTACTAGATGCCGCTGTTTTGTCACATTCATTTCAAATGTGTTTTCTGGTTGAGTGATACTCAAGTTTCGTGAAAACTCAGATAAAGTTTTTGTGGTGGCTGGCGCAAGCAGTTCCAAGATAGGATTGGTGTTTATTTTTATCATTGTCATAAAATCAACAAAAATATTGGTGTATTGCCATTGTAGCAAAAGTATTCTGTGGTTAAAGTATTCATACGTATTGTGTAAAATTTTAATTATTTCCCTGTTTGTTAGTGATAATGTCTTTACTGTAGAAGAAAATAGTTTACGTTGTGGGAATATCACTGACGTTTTAAATCTTCGGAATGGGTAAATTACACATCTGTAACAATTAGCTCAAAAAATAATTACAGAAAATTTTTCGATCGGTAACTTTTGAATTATTTTTAATAACACATAACAACATGCTCGTACAGACCCAGTATAATGAGTCATTGTGTGTCGCTCTTTCTCTCTTTGTCTTGAATTTAATTTCAGTAGTATTAAAATATTGTTTCCCCGAAAGGGGCCGAAGACCGCCTGTATTGGTCATCTGTTTTAACCACTCGCTCTACTGTAGTGTGTTGTCTGTCAGTCACTTAAGGGACTCTTAACGTTGCATTTTGTACTGTCGTGACGTCAGTAAAACGTGTGAATGCCATGAGTCACGAGAAGAATTATGCACTCTGTAGGCTACAACATATGAACTTCAAAAGCAAAAACTAAAAATATCTGTTACTCTTAATTTTGGTTTTATTTACTCTTGAAACAGAATACTTTCGGGGACCCTGCGGAAGACATCTAGTGTTAGAAATATTTTGGCAGAGTAGATTGTAGTTTAAGCTTCTTTGAATTTTATCTGTTTGAAACTAAAAGAAGTCAGCACCAACAACCAAAATATCTCTAAACTAAGATCTTAGGAGTTGTAATAGACCGATTCCATTAAAAACATCTGATGGCTATAATTACCTACACTCCATGTTTAAAATATCCACCTCACCTTCTTTAATCTCAGCGAGGCTTACTGTCTAAAGTTCTGGGCTGTTTACTGGAAGTTTCAAGGTTCTGGCCACAATTTGCTGCTAGACGCGCTCCAGAGTTTCAGCTGTGGAGGCATTATAAATGTGACCGTCAACCGCGCTGATCGGTTTATAGCAGTCGCGTGAGCGATGAGTGCTACTGACTGGTTGCTCTCTCTCTCTACCTGGTTATACCTGACTTATTATACCTATGACTGATTATTAATCATTATGACTGATTATACCTGAACCAAAGTCTTTGGCTTGGTCGTTTACCCCATGTGTATCAGAAGGTGCCACTTAGATTTAAAATACCAATAACATTCACTTCCAGCCACTTTTCCATCCTTAAATATTTTCAAAATTCTTCAGGTAATATCCCAACCGTTATACCATCCAAATTGCCATATAACATCTACAGATGATTAGGCTAAAATTGCTAGTCTCAATGAAGAACCTCACTTTTGGAAAACTTCCTTCAGACTTTATTAGGGCCTCAGGATGTATTCCAAAACGTCGTCCACCTTTAAATTCCAAAACATAAGCTTTTGTTTTAATTTTGCGCAAAGCTACACGAGGGCTATCTGCGCTAGCCGTCCCTAATTTAGCAGTGTAATACTAGAGGAAAGGCAGCTAGTCATCACCACCCACCGCCGACTCTTGGGCTACTCTTTTTACCAACAAATAGTGGGATTGTCCGTCACATTATAACGCCTCCACGGCTGAAAGGGCGAGTATATTTGGTGGGACAGGGGAATTCGAATCCGCGACCCTCAGATTGCGAGTCGAGCGCCCTAACCACCTGGCCATGCCATGCCCAAAACAGAAGCAGTCCATCGGAGATTTAAACATGTATTGCAGAAGGTGTTATGTTTCTTTAGAATTCAACGCTTTATTAAGTTTTATGAGAATAATTTTAATACAGCATATTATTCTTTAATAACTGAGACTTTACTTTTAAAATCTAATTCTTATTTGTCTTTTAACAAATATTTGAAATAATTGTGTAATACCACTTAAGATGGTTTAATCGTAATGTTTCAATTCCAATTTAATATTTTTCTCCCACGTTGTATAGTTCATGTCATTATATTACCATCGTTTTGTTCAGTTTCATACTTTATGGATCAATAATATTAGGGTTTATTTCTAAGCATAATACTACAAATGTATTAATTGCACTTTCTCCATTGCGAGAAAACGGATACCGGATTTTAGCTCTGTAAGCCCCAACGAACACGTAGAGCATTAGCATTGACTGCTCTAATCGTAACATTATATGGAGCATGAGATGGTGGAGCTTGTAAAGTCTGAAAAAACATTGTTGGTTCACTAACGTTGCTTCTACCTACAACATTAGTGGCCAGCAGACGTAGACGATACTGGGTAAATGGTACTAAGCTCTGCACAGTGATTGTGGTGGCTTGAGGGTCAGCTTACCGCTGAACTCTCGAGCAACTTATCATTTGAATTTTATTATTAGCTTATTTTTTTAAACCTCTAAAATTTCCTTCTCTGTTTATTTCAGTAAATCAATGTCTCATTTGATTTCCTTGTGCTGTAAGGCTGGTTGTCTGGTTGTTGGTGTTACAGTTTGTTAATATTCATATTATTATTGTAAAACCTAATATTAATGGTTACAAGGGGTCCTTCCTGCAACAGGTACCGAAGAAATATTTCAATTTTATTTATCTATTTTTTTTTAATTATATTTACTCTTGAGTTGTTTGGGCGGGCCCAGTGGTTAGCGTGCTGGAATTTGAATTCGAGGGTCTATTGTTCGTGTCCCGTTGAGTTGTTTGGGCGGGCCCAATGGTTAGCGTGCTGGAAGTTGAATCCGAGGGTATATTGTTCGTGTCCCGTTGAGTTGTTTTGGTGGGCCCAGTTGTTAGCGTGCTGGAATTTGAATCCGGGGGTCTATTGTTCGTGTCCCATTGAGTTGTTTGCGCGGGCCCAGTGGTTAGCATGCTGTAATTTGAATCCGGGGGTCTATTGTTCGAGTCCCGTTGCTACAAAACGGCGATCCGATATTTGGGGCTGTCTATGCGGAATAACAGTGACGGGCAAATCCCTCTGTTCAATAACAATAGCTCACGAGTTGGCGGTGAGTTCTTTCGGCTAGTTGCCTTCCGTCTAGTCTATCAGTTTAAATGAGGAGCGACTAGTACAAGTAGACCGTGTGTCATTATTTTGTTGTTGCCCCCCAGTGGCACAGCGGTATGTCTTCGGACTTACAACGTTAGAAACCAGGTTTCGATGCCCGTAGTTGGCAGAGCACAGATAGC